TGTATATTAGCTTTCATTTGTTCACATTATTATATTTGAGTATATTTTTCAAAAATGTACACAAAAGACATTTTTTGAAAGATCTTACATGCCATTAATATGTACATTTTTTGCAATTTGTAAACACTATTGTATTTGTGTGTTTAAGTGCTTCAAACGACATCTAATGAAGTTTTCCAAAAACCCTCTCTCCCACCCCTCGCCCCTCTACCCTTTCCCTCCTTTCTCTTCTCCCCCTTCGTTTCTCCACTCCCCCCTCTCCCTCACTCCTATCTCCCTCCCTTCCCCCTTTCTCCCTCCCTTCCCCCTCTCCCTCACTCCTATCTCCCTCCTTCCCCCCCCCCTCTCACCCAGCAAAAATGTAGTAATTTTTTTTCAAAAAGATCTCATCCTGAAAATCATGGGGCAAGACACTTTTCATTGAAGCCTGTGGCCTTAAAATTTTAGTTTTTAATACCCTAGAACGTTTTGTTAAGGAGCTATTTAGTGATAGAGGTTCAAAAAATGCAGAGTATGTTGAGGGTTGTATTTGACATGAATATTTAGTTGTTGTTTTTTCTACAGCGCTATTTAGTGAATTTTTCCAGTATTTTAAGAGTTATTCTGCAATTCAGGGCAGAGATGAATACAACAAATTAGAGGTAATGAAAATTGGTCCAGCCGTTCTTGAGTTATAAATACTGTAACTAACCCTGTGTTATATATTCAGATATAAAGTCAAAAAATGTAAAAAAGTGTGTGTGATGTACTAAGGGGTGGTGTATTCTGTGCACATTTCCTTAAATTTTGGGATCCCTTTCTAATCCACATACAAGTTGAATTATGAATAAAGATGGAAATAAGTGTTTTTTGGCAAGAATTGATAAGAAAATATTCTCTCTGTGGTTATTTGCAAAGGCAAATCAACTGAAGATTTGGAATATTATTCCCCATCATGACCTTCGTGAAGTTATCTACTTCCTTCTGAGACAACATGGAAAATGATAATTTGAATAACTATATTTCCCACTGAGCTCTAGAAAACGTGCACCCATAGGGAAGTTACATTTATGTCCAGAAGTAAATAAAGTAGCCACCTCAGCAAATCTGATCGATTTTGCGGTTATTGATCCAGATTGTATAGAGAATACGATACCCTTTACCCGAGGTAACTTATTACAAATGCGAGGTCCATTAGAAAAACGATAGCAAAATATATTGATTCTCATAATTCTGCAGAATTTAATGATTCTTTTGAGTTTCTTTGCTCTGCTGTTAGCAGTTGTCAATAAGGCATTAACTTGCCTCTTGCTCTTGTCCTTGTCCTTTTGAAAATCTGTTATGACTTCATTGTGTCAGGAAATTACTACATACGTGGAAAAATTGCGCATTGCCACATCTACACAATAGACTAATTCCAAATGATAATTCTTGTTTCAAAATTATTTTTTCATGATGTGTATACAATATTAATAAGATTGGCTCCATAAAAAAAGATGAAAACAGAATTTTCATTTTCCAATAATTTTTGAAAATTAAAATATGTCTTGAATTCTAATTGTCTGCGGATTTGGTTTCATCTGATATAGGCAATGACCTGAATTTAACTTGAACTACTCTCGTTCTACTCTAAGAGCATATTTGTAGAATGTTTTAGTGCTTAATACTTTTCAAATTTTATAATTTACAGTATCCATATCAAAATTTTAATTAAACTGAGTAAGTTTATAATTCATTTTTACATTTCTATTAAAAAACATTCTTTCAGAAATATTTTTGTGAGATTCAGATAGAATATATAAAAAGATGGGTTTCTGGTGGTTTTGAGCATGAAATTTGTGGGCATTCCGTATAATTATCAATATCAAATATATGTTTGTTGTAACACGTGGTGTATCAGTATATCTAGATCTCATGTCTGTTTAATGCAGAGATGACATTAAGCTTTCCTCTGTTAAAAACATCCATTACTGTCCCACTAGAAGAAACAGAGGAAAGGAGAAGACGACGCCGTCGTAAAAGGAAGGCTGCAGAGGAGGAAAGTGCCAGTGTGAACTCCGAAAAGCAGGTGGAGGCTGAAGCCACAGCTTCTGCAGCAGGAACTCCTCCGCCAAAACCTCAGCCAGTGCTCATGGTGCAGGTTGAAAATGTTATTCATGAAAAATTTAGACAAACTGAGGAAGTTAAGGTATGTTGATTAATTGTGGAATTGCATGTTGAAGTATAAAAAATAAACAAAAGTAAAAATAAAATTCAAGTTGTTTTGACATGACAACCTTCTCATTTAATTGTGATAACAGTACTTATGTAGCTCTCTAACTTTTAATTTCACTTGCACAGAAAATTTTTTAGAATTTATCATTCTTATGATGGAATGACAAATTGCAGTTACATTTTGGCAGTTTATTGATGACATTATTGAATGCAAATGAAGTCTCTATCCCTCACCCCCTTATTTTCTTTTTCTCTTTTATTACGCCAAGGCGTCCTACATTAAAACAAGTCCCAAGCGACTGATCATCAATTTATGCCTATACTTTTCTACATTTCTAGGTTAATATATTGTTTACATGTTCTGTCAATAGTGCCCTATGTATTTCAGTTAGGTACAATTTCACGAGACTTTTTTTTTTAAGACAGTCATACTGGTTCACATGATTTGGTTCTTTGTGACATTCTTAACTAGTTTTGGTTATTTAGCAGTTGAATGGCTTCTGCGCTAATGTGATTCACTCAAGACACAAGGGAGGCCAAGATCACTGTTTAGGTTACTATTTCTTATGTGCCATGACATGTTCATCATGTTTCATTGTACATTGTTTTGAAATAAATATATGATTTCTTTGACACAATCTGAGAGCTAAATGTAATAGAGACAAACTAATTTTAAATTTTGGTTGTGAATTATTAATTTGTTTTGTGTGCTGAAAAGTTTGACCCAGCAGCCAAAACAATTTTCTATATAATGATGACGATGATAAATAATAATTATAATATTTATTCCCATTTTGTTTCACAGAGATAATGAACAAATAATTTTTTTTTGAATTACTAACCGTCGATAACCAGTTGTGATGGTTAGCAACACTGGGTTTATAATGTATTATCTGTCTACTTCTACATAGTATTTTTCGATTGTGGCATGGTTGTTTCATAATAGTTTTTGTGAATGTACAAGAAATAAAACACCAATAATTAAAACATAATATACATGCAAATTTACAGAGATGCAATAGTTTCCATATACAAATATATAACTCCATAAATAAATTCATACTTATATTTACATGGGTACATTTATATGGGTCCCAATGAAGAATATACATCTTGAATGTGCCTCCCCATATTTGAATTCCATGTTGGAGTTTTGAATGTATTAGTGCGTAATATAGAATTTAAAGTGTGTGAATATTGCAAAACGTATGTAGATAATAGAATTTTCTTATATTACCTCTTAAATATTTTTGTGTACTCATTATATGAATTTTCCAAGTCTTTATTATTCCTACATATTTGAAATAGTTTACTTTCTCAATTGTTTCACATATATATGTCAGCTTTTGAATACAATTAAGATCGTAGACTAAGTACTATCTTTAAAATTAAAATCAGCAAATCCCATATTCATGTATTTGGTTTTTCATACATTAATACTCATTTTGTTATTGCTGCACCTATGTTTTAGAATCGTAAGACCATCTTCAATATGATTCCAAAGTTGTTGTTCATCATTTCAAGAAAAGGTAAAAGCAATGTTGTCAGCAAAAGCTGTTATTTTTTTCCTGGAAAATTAATTTTGAAAAACTTATTAATGAATATGAGAAAACGGATCGCTGATAAAACAGACTGTTGGAGCTTGCTGAAACCTAGGTGCCCACCCCGGGGAGCAATAGAAGAAAAGGAACAGTGTGATGTGATAGACCACACAAGGCATATACTGTCCGTCAGTCCATTAACAGTACTAGCAGTTAAACTCAATGCAGGATTATCACCAAAATTGCTATCCCCATTGATCTGGCTGACTATTTTCTTTTTGCTGACAGCAGTTTTATGATTCCTTGTGCTTTTAATGCAGGCAAGTTTGTGTTGGCAGATTTTTTGTGAGTATTCCAACTTCGACAATTCTGGCAGGTTATTTCTTTACTTCGTTGTGACCTTCATATGACAAGGATTCAATTTTAGAAATTCTTTTGAGATCTTCAGAATTATTAAATATTAACATTAATAAAGGCAAGGGGAGAGTTCAATCTCTTTATCAATCTTGTTTTCTTTTGATAGTGTTACTTCAATTATCTTAAATATTTTCTTTTTGATTTCCATCTCTGTTCACAGAGGATACTGGTCCCTTACCATGACTCACATTGTCCTATTTTGTTATTCACATAATATTCCATTCCATTTCTGATTTATTTACAAGTCATTCTATTCACTATATTTGGGTTCTGATCCTACATTGAAATTAATTTGCTGATTATTTAACATTACTTAAGGTTTCAGATTATTTGTCTTCATGTTCTGAAGAAAAAAAAATTGTAATCTTTCTTTTCATGTACTATTACCAGTAGTGTCTTTTTCCCCCCTCAGGACTGTGCTTGTCGCTGGTGAATTTTAAGTTTTCTTTTTTACTTTTTTTGTTGTTAAAGCCAATCTATTTCCATGGCTACTAATTTTTCATCGATTTTCTGAATTGTCTTGGCTGTATCTTTCCGTAGATGATAATTTTATAGTACTTTCTTGTAGTTATTTAATTGTATCCACATGTATGCACATTGGTTTTATTCCATTGTTAACAAGTTTACTTTTGACTTAAGATCATTTAATATAGTTCTTACTTCTTTATTTTCTGCAAAACATTACTGCCAAGCTTTCCACAATAATTTTTCCTTTATTTGTTTTAAGTCAATTGTATATGTCAATTGTAAGTATAAGTCTTTGTACATGTAAGCTTTTGTGATCTGAGTGGTCTTCTGTTTTTCTTTTTCTCTCATTTCTGTTTTTTCATTGGTTTATCTTTTCCCTTTTGCGTGTCAATATCTATGGATAGTTCATTCACTGACAGCAGAAGTGTCAGAAGTCAGTTCCAGCAGAGCATGGCACATAGGAATGTTGATCAGAAATCGCCAATTCTGAAAGGGCACACATTACAACTTCTCACACTCCATCATATCGTTCGGATGCTGTCGCTTGGCACGGTATCTCACACCTTAGCCATGAGGATTTTTTTCAGAATTTACTTCTCTAGATGCACTGTGTTGAGTTGAAGCAGGGCTACCGCAGGCAAGAAGTGACTTTTAACCATCACAAACAGCGACTTAATGTAATTCATAGCTTTGTTTTGTTGTTAACTATTTGATTTGTAGTCTAATAATATAAACATATGACAAAAAGGCGAATGTTATAAAAACATTGTTTAAGGAATTGCTTTCATGAAATGTTATTGTTATACAAGTTTAACTTTTGCCCTTTAGGTGAGTTTCTTGTAATTATTTTACATATGCAATATTGTTTGTCTTAAACTTGAAGTGTGTTGATTTTTAAATATCTGAAGTGTATTTTGTCTTGATTTTATCGTGTGCAATTTCTCATGTTCAGTCATTTTGTTAATAATTTTCAGCTCATTAAAATTTTGAAATGAGTTTTGTTGACTGATCCTGTGTCTTTGTTTATACCCTTATTTTTTGTCATATTATAGTTGTATTCTCGGCTGAGGATACTTCTTTTAATATGTGATCCTTGAATTATACTGTAGAATAATCAAAATGTATAGAATAAACATATATCAATTGAGTTTGCATAAGCTATGTATCGACATAGAATGTGCAGATATCTATGAAAATCTGTAATAGGAGGGGGGTGAGAGAGTCTGAGAAAAAAGAAAAAAAAGGAAAGGCTTAAGCTTGCATGTACGATGAACTTATTGTTTTACTTCCATATGTTTTGATATAAGAAAGGCACCTGGGGCATCTCAGACATGCAAGTGCTTTATGGGAAACATCAAAAGAACAGAGTTTCTTCAGTATAAATTATGCCCACATTTTAATGGATTTATTGACTCAGAAAAGAGGCAGTAGAATAAAAAATTTAGTTATGTCCCAGCTTCATGAATCTATGACATAATTTTCAATGGCCTTTCGTTTTGTAACGTTACGTTTGAGTTCCTGGACCAAGCATTTAAAAAAATTGTTTTATTTATTTATTTATTGGTTTTGTGTTTCTTTCTTTCTCTACTTAATACTTAAGAGTTCAAGGATATAATGTCAATTACGAAACTTTTTTGATAGGATGTTCCCATTAGCAGTAAAAATAAAAACCGACTAGGACACTATGAAATCGCATATTTATTTGGTGCTATTGGAATGATATCTGGCGGTACAATTTGGAACAATATGAGAGAAAATAAAAGTCCCCTAAAAATTAATACATAGCTAACTCATATCTCTATCAAATCTCTTCAGAAATATGTTGTAAATGAGTTTGTGATATCCTTGACATTCAGTGGTGGTAGACTATTCCGTGTGTTGACTCCGGTTTTTCAAAAAATTTTGGTGATGTAGGGATTTGGTTCGTTCCTGTTTAATTTTCAAATTTTGTACTCTGCATCGCGAATCTGAGCTTCTCTTGAAAGAGAAATCTAGAATTGTAGTGGTGTAAGCCTTGTTCAAAACTTTGAAGATTTCGATGAGGTTCCCTCTATACCTCCTCTGTTCCAATGTCAGTAAGGACATTTCATGGCATCTTGTTTTGTAGCTTCAGTGCTGTAGATCAATAGAGATTTTTGTTGATCGCCCTCTTGTAACCTTTTTACCATCTTGTACCTATCCTTTCTATAATATGGAGACCAGACAGTAGTTCTTACTCCAAAATTGGCTTTGTGTACCTTGTGTAAATTGTCCGTACAGAAAGTGATTAAAGGCAAAAATTTTAAGCACCGAGAAAATTCTTCTCATGAGATAGACTACGGAATTCGCTTTCCTGGTGACTGCAGCTACTTGTCTCGCCTATTTCAAATTCTGCCTTACAATTACTCCCAGATCATTTCAAGACGTTGTGTGTTATTGTTTTCCCCTTAATTGAGTACTGGGACCTAGGATTATCTCTTCCAAGGTGTAAAGTAGTACACTTATTACTACTCTTACGAAGAAGCAGACAAGAAGTCAACCACTCCTCAGACTTGCACAAGTCTTTTTGAATATCAAGGTAGTGAAATGTTTCTGTATAATTGGTGTCATCTCTGTATAATTGGTAATATCTACATAGCAACTTCCATTGGTCTCTGTATAATTGGTATCATCTTCATAGCAACTTCTGTCTGATTTTAATTTGTTTCCCAATGTTGCACCGCCTTGGTGAATTCCACTTGTGGTCACCTATACACACTTGGAAGGATCCATCAAAATATTTTTTTCCTGGATTCCCAAAGTTTCAAGTTTCAGCAATAGCCTCTTGTGCAGGATCTTATCAAAGGCTTTTGCTTAGTCTAAATAGATGACATCTATTGAATTTCCTTAATCAGTAGTCTTAGTCCAGACTTCAAATGTGCAGAGTAAGATTGTAGTGGTCCAGGAATGTATGCTGTTCGGGAAAAGGGCATTGTTTAACAGTTTCCTTGCAACAAGTCACTAAATTAGCTTCCCTGCAGCGCTAGTCAAATTTACAGGCTTGTTGCTACTTGACAAGCGTCACTCTTCAGTCAGAGACGCATTGGTCAAGGCCATGCAAGGGTATCTGAAAGATATTACTCTGGATTGTGAAGCATTGAATGTTGAAAGTGGCAGCAAGCAGTTTGGGTGCAGCCACTAGGCAGTGAGGTGGTGTGTTTTTATGAGTTTCACAACCAGTTTAATAATGGTTTGAAAAAGCATAAAACCCTAAATATTAAAGTTTTTCAACTTCAAAAACGATTGAAAAGGGGTTGGGAAAACCAAGTAGTAGTTTTTCCTTTTTAATTGTCAGAAATATGTTTAATATTCACTTCTTGGTAAATGTTACATGTTAGTATATTTTTATCATTCTAATAAAGTAATGTAATTTACTAGTTTCAGAACGGAAATATCAGTATAATTATTGTCCTGAAATGAACAACTCTGCTTAAAACAGAAACTCCCTTAAACCGGAATAATTTTGTGTCCCAATCAATTCCAGTAGCATATGTTTCTCTTCAGGCTGCAATGTACTCATGTTAATAACTATAACAATTATACAAGAAAAGTTCCCCTCCAAACATATTAATAAATTCTACTTCTTACTAGCTATCTTGTGTGAGTAAATCTAGAGGCAAGAGCCCTTACATTAGTAAAATTCATACATGAACATTGATCAAAAATTTTTTTGTGTCATTCTGAATGTTTTTCCTTGTTCTTTTGAAGGCTTTAACCCAAGAAGTTATCAAAACCATTAGAGATATTATCAGTTTGAATCCTTTGTATCGAGAATCTCTGCAACAGATGTTACATCAAGGTCAGAGGGTTGTGGATAATCCTGTGTACTTATCTGACTTGGGGGCAGCTCTTACTGGAGCAGAGGCCTCAGAGTTGCAGCAGGTCCTTGAAGAAATGGATGTAAGACTCTTTCTATTAATTTATTTTTTCTTTCTTCTTCTTGCATATTAAAAACTTTGAGAATTAAAATATTTTTGCTATATTGCAGATTCCAAAACGCTTAATGCTCTCATTGTCACTATTGAAGAAGGAATATGAATTGAGTAAATTACAACAAAAGATAGGCCGAGAAGTTGAAGAAAAAGTAAAACAACAGCATCGTAAATATATACTACATGAACAACTTAAAGTTATTAAAAAAGAATTGGGCCTTGAGAAAGATGACAAAGATGCAATAGAAGAGAAATTTCGTGAAAGAATCAAGGTAAATATGTGTGAGATTTTAAGATAAAAGATTAATTGTAAAGAAAATTTCATGTTTATTTAATTTTATCTTTATTTAATATACAATACAAGCAGCAGGTAAAACTTTTTTTGCTAATTTCTAAAAATTTCATTTGTGCTGTAGCTGCTCAGGATCATTTCTGCGCTGTATTGAGAGTCCTAAGAATAATCAGCATTTTGTTAATAAATTTTAGAACATTTAATTAACTTCTAATTGAAGAATATTGCATTATGATACATTTATGAAATCCTAACTGGTCAGATTTAATGTTTTTCATTTTTGAAGATGTGCAGGGAATATGTTTCAGCAATTTCAATTTTAATTTTAAATGTTAAAGCATAGTGATTGGAAATGTAGAATGAATATTTTATGAAGGTCAGAATGTTTTCATTTTTATTCCTTAGGAAAAAACTGTTCCTAAAGCAGTTATGGAAGTTCTGGATGAGGAGCTACATAAACTGTCATTTCTGGAGAGTCATTCATCTGAATTTAAGTATGTAAATTGGCTTAATTGCACACATATGCAGATTAATAACACCCTATTTTCTCTTTAATTCTTTCTGTTTTGTTTCAGTGTTACCCGGAATTACTTGGACTGGTTGACTTCATTACCATGGGGTATTACGAGTAAAGAAAATTTGGGACTAAAACAAGCAATTGACATTTTAGATGAAGATCATTATGGAATGGAAGACGTTAAGAAGAGAATATTGGGTAATAAGCTTAAACAATTATTTTTCTGTACTTCAAGATATGTTTTTACAAACCTCCTTGTGTAAAATTTTGTAGAATTCATTGCTGTTAGTCAACTGAAGGGGACCACCCAAGGCAAAATATTGTGTTTCTATGGGCCTCCAGGCGTAGGCAAGACCAGTATTGCTCGATCGATTGCACGGGCTTTAAATAGAGAGGTATTGTATTAATTTATTATATTCTTGTTGCAAAGTTTCAGCAAAGATTTAACCTAATTCTCTTTTTCAATTTTGCAGTATTTTCGCTTTAGTGTGGGTGGCATGACTGATGTTGCTGAAATAAAAGGTCATCGCAGAACATATGTCGGAGCAATGCCTGGAAAAGTTATACAGTGTTTAAAAAAAACAAAGACTGAAAATCCTCTAATATTAATTGATGAAGTAGACAAAATCGGAAAGTAAGTGAAGAAAATTATTTCTCTGTAATAAATTTAGGAATATTTTTTATTGAAACTCATTAACACATGCTGTTTGGAAGGGGTTATCAAGGAGATCCTTCTTCAGCTCTTCTAGAAATGTTAGACCCAGAACAAAATGCAAATTTTTTGGATCATTATTTGGACGTACCTGTGGATTTATCAAAAGTATGTATTATGGATAGTATGTGATGATATGGAATTACTTGAAGAAAGAAAAAAGATGTGATGTATGTGTAAAGGTTTCTTGCGTTTCAGGTCTTATTCATTTGCACTGCCAATGTTCTGGAAACAATTCCAGAACCTCTCAGAGACCGCATGGAAATGATAGATATGTCTGGTTATGTAGCGGAAGAAAAGATGGCAATTGCAAAGCAATATCTTGTTCCTCAGGCTATGAATGATTCTGGACTACATAATGACCAGGTAAAACTTAGACTTTGTTAATCATCGTTATGATCTTAAAAAGCGTTTCATCATATCTTGCTGAGGAAATAACTCTTTGTTTTATCTTGGACTTCTAATTATTGTTTGTAGGTGTATTGTTACTTGGTGAGAAACACTGGTAAACTAAAAGCAGGTTTTATATTTTTCTTATTCAGGTTCACATTAAAGATGATGCTCTGCAGCTTCTTATAAAGTCATACTGTCGAGAAAGTGGTGTCCGAAATTTACAGAAACATATAGAGAAGGTAAGATTTCTTAATAAGATCTTTGATATCTTTTTACCCATTTTTACCCTTTTTACCCATTGCCTCAAGTAGTATTTATATACCCGTTAGGTTTATTATGCAATTTTTTGTTTGGCAGAGATGTGTTAATAAAGAATAATAATTGTAAAAAGTTAACCATATATCATTGCTGCTGTGAATCTGCATCGTAGTGTGTGACTTTAGGTACTTCATGTGTTTCTTGCAGTAAGTGGTTGAAATGACATAATGAAAAAGTTGAAAGGTAAACTTAGTGAAGATAGTTATAACAGCGAAGGAGTTGGACTGTGAAAAAGCATATGCGTCCTTAGCTAAGGAGTTCTTCAGTGCACAAAGGAATATCAGAGGATTGGGGCCCTTGAACTTCTCGAAACTCCAACTGCGGAAAATGGGTATAATGGGAAATAAAATATTCTCTAGGCTTCCAAAGCCTGATTATCATTGTCTTTAGGTGCTCACTAAGTTGATGTGATGATACTCTTAACATGGTTCAGTAGAACTTTTTAATGGAGATTCTACTGGATTTAGCAGACAGATGTTTTCACTAAGTTGGGGTTGCTTGCAAAGAAATGGATATCATTTTAAAACTAGTGGTACAACAGCACATACTTTCTTGATGTATTTCAAAATATGCCACTTTCAAAATTAAAAATTACCTATATTTTACCAAAATTACATGATAACTACTCACATTTTAAAAAAATTGTAAATGACCTTCTTTCATTTCTATTTCATTCAAATAGAAACTCTTGATTTGTGCTAAATTGCTGGAGTATGTAATTTTGCCAGAACCGGCCAAGTGCCTTACCGGGCAACTGCTTCATATGCCGACAAGTGTCTGTATGCATGCTGTTGATTTTCGGTACCTCACAAATCCCCCTACTTTGACTGGGTTTGAAACTGTGAACTTAAGATCAGTAACCCGGCATGATGCCAACCATCCAAGCAGGATTGTAGGAAGCACAGAAAAAAGTTTGAACTGAGCAATTTTCAAAAAATCAAAGATTTTAATGAAAAGGAGACTTGCCCCATTCTGGTAAGTATTCTTTACGCTATCTGAGAATCAGCTGAAAGGTTTAGGCGCTAGCATTTTCCTTTCAATTGATTTTAAGGGCTCACAAAACAAGGATTCTGACTGTACAATGTGTTAGAGGAAGTAATTTACTATGTATAGGAACAAGATTTATCCATTTCTTCATTACCAGGGAACCCGTATTTTCCTGCACCCAATTACAAAACATTATCTTCTTAGAAAGTAAGAAGTACAAATAAATACAAAACAGAGAATCATCGTAGAGTAAAGAAAAGACAATTTTTTTCATTAGGTAGGGAAAACATGTATAAAAATCATGCTTGGTGTTGCTAAAATAAATTTTTATTTTATAGACTGTTTTAGTGTCTTACTGATATTGTTTTAGCTTAGATTAGCTGTAATTTTGTTTTCTTGATGTTGTGAGTAGGGTTGCCATGTCTTGAGAAAGTGAGATATGTCCTGAATATCAACGTATGTCCTGCTGTTCCACAAGAGTTTTCTGTGTTTCTGCCAGATATCCTAAATTTGTATACTGTTATAATTCCACACAGTCCTACAATAAAAACTGCTTTTTGGGACTACTTGTGAACTACATCACAGAACTATATGCTACATCAAAGAACGCAAGCAGTTAATTCTTTTGTTGAGCAAATATTGTTATTAGTGTGTTATGTGGAATGAAAAGGCAACTAGTGGTGCTACTGAACGGGAAAAATCCCTTCTTTAGTATCAGGGAACCCAAAACGTGTGTTTCCATTGATATCTCGTAATCAATTTTCCGTAGCATAACTTTATACTACGAATATTTAACCACATATACGAGAAAGTAAAAAGGCCTCGGTAAATAAGTGTAAGTAAATAAGTTAATATCAACCAAAGTCAAGCTTTTTTTATATTTTATTTAAATACCCTGAAATACTTCAAATTAGGAAATGACGTGGATAACCTGGAAAAGTCAGGGAAATTTATGCTAGAAAAAGACCAGACACCCCGTTATTCTTGAACGTGTGCAATATAATTTATCTTGATCCACTTTTTAATTGTTTCCTTGACATTCTATTTAGTTGTATACAAATAAACAATTTGCTCGGAAATATATTTCAGATGTCCTTAATTCCATTGTTATCCTTAGGGCAACCCTAGTAGCCAGTTGATTTCTCCACATAGAGTACAGTGGGGGATGTTAGTATTTCTTCTGCTGTTCTTTTTGTTAAATACAAAAACTGGGTTTCTGTAAATGTAAATCTAAATGTGTTGTGAATATAGAGCAGTTTCAGACTGGAGTGGAGGAAAATTGAGTTTAGTGGTTTATATGTGTTGGTTGGCTATTTGGCTTTTTCAACACCTTACATATTCTTAATACCATTTATACTACATACAAATTTCATAGTTTAATGTGTCCATAGACACGAAAGAATCAAATTATTTGTAACGAAGTTTTTCAAATTTTGAAAAGTCGTATAGTTTAAGAGAACTAAAAAATGAAATACTTTCTATAATGTTCAAACGAAATTTCTAAATAACTGCTCTAGGTTTATCTTTGACAGTTTCCTTAGTAAGAGGGTTTGTTTCTTTTTATATTCGGAAAGCCTCAGATTAAGCTTCAAAACCTCTTGTTCAGTTAAACTTCAAGAGCAGTGGTTGAGGTCTTCAACCCAGGAGACGTATTCCACTATGGGTTAATTTTTTGCGGTTCACAAACAAATACTCATTTCAACTACAATGCTATTTCTTCTTCCATCATTAAAGCCAATATTGATAATTTTGTGGCATTCGTGACCGTGCATTCCTCCGTCAGGTGTATGTGAACAGTACCAGCACGTAAACCACGCGTACAAATTTTTTCAAATCGAAGAAACCCCTGTCCATTTGGCCTGAGTCTAAGCTGCGATTTTGAAAATTATTAGTTTTTGAGGGGTACTTTACAGGAAGCCCCTGGAACATTTTCAAAATTTTCTCAAAAAAGGCTCCAAATATTTTCTTCAGATTTCTTCTAAGAATGTAGTAAAATGCACTTATAAAGGTGGTATAGGTTCAATTTTCACAGTTACCTCACAATTTTCAAAAGTTCGAATTTTTCCGGAGTCTTCCTACAACAAAATTTAAGATAGAGATTTTTTCTTCAAATAAAGTTTGTTGTCCATAATTTGTTCTTTCATTAAGGTCAGATACATTATTTTGAAACGTTTTGAAACACTGTGTGTATGCAGGAGGGGGCTGAGGTTCTTTGCAAGTGTGCGTCGGGGAAAACGTCGTGCTCTCCTTTCTATAGTCCTGTGTCACACCGAGCTTTTCACGCAATATTGCGTGAAGTATGTGAAATTTTAAAAAACAAGAGTACATGTGCTTTAAATGTCATATAATGTTTCTCGAAAACTCAACTGTTTTCTGTGAAAACTAGCTCAAAGTTCCGCATGTTCAGAAACGCTCAAATGTCATTTTGTCGTATATCGCTCAAAATTCTTTCTTCTAACTTTTCAAGCAGATAGTGATAATTATACTCTTTAATGTAAGGTAATGTTCATTTTATTTATTTATTTATTTTTATTCCCCCAAAAATTACTGTAATGTAATTTTTCTTAAATATCTCCCATGCTATTAATTTGCACCTTTACAGCAATTTGTAAACACAACTGTATTTGTGAGTTAATGTGCTTCAAATTAAGTATTATTGAAAATTCGAAAATTTTCTGTGAATAAGAGCTTTAAATTTCAAATTTAAAAAAAGCTGTTAAGCTACATTTTCTTAAAAACAGCTCCAAATTTTTAAAGGAAATTGCCATTTAGGATGAGGTTTTACTGTTATTTAATATTCTTAGGATAATATTTCCATTCATTAGGAAACTGAAAAATTAAGTAAAAATATGTTCTCGAGGGGTGATAGATGGCAGCTGGCAAGAATATGTGGCAAGTTCGTATAGCTAGCTGAGACCAAAGGAATTAGAAAAACTAACACAGGAAAGTCTGTGCTATTCTGTGGTATTAGTTAATATAACTAAGATGGTTGTGGGACAAATGCTAATGTGTTTTTCTATTTTTTCACAAGTATTTGCATTTTTTCCAGGAAGCGATTAATGTTTGTTCTTGCAGACATTGTCAGTTACATTCAGAATGTCTTTCTTGTAAATAGTGTTCATTAGTGCACCATTATTGTTGTCATATGAAGTTCACTGCATTTCTCCACATATTTTGAAACATTGTTACTTTTGTTTACTTTTTGTTTTTTGCAAAAATGTAAAATTGAAAACATGTTTCTTTGAATTCCATTCTTACTATCTTATAATCAAATGTTTTTGTTTTTTATAATAACATATATAGATGTAATTATGCGAACTGAACTTCATTGTAATTTGAGTAATAATAATTAATTGTAATTTTTGTATATATGCTTCGTTCTTCTTTTCTTTTTCTATTAATTATATTTTCCGATTACTTTTTTGTATTCTTTTCTTTTCTTTTATAAACAAGCTCTTGAAAAAAACTGTTGCTCTGGGGGGGGGAGGGAGAAAAAAAAATTATTTATAACAGGCCTGTACACTGGATTGATTCCTCAGCGGAATAATAATGTACATACGTGTATTATATTATTTGTATTTCACAGAATAAATAATAATTTGGACAAATTGTCCATTGAATTGAAAATTTTAAAAAAATATAATCATCAAAAAATACGTACAGACCTAAAGAGAAAAGTCAATTCTAAAATATTTTATCAATATAACGTGTATGATAGTTTTCATTTTGCTTTGAATAAAAGCTGTATTGCCCAGAACACAGAATTGATCCAATGGCGTATCTGTCAGGATTGAATTATTAAGAAAAAACCTTTATCTTCAATATTGTAATTGTAGCAAGAATAGAAGAAGGTTTGAATTTTTGAAAAATCAGGGTTTTTTAACAAAAATGAGAACTGCGTGTAGTTCTTTACCTGACAACAGTTAATAAAAAAAATTAGACTTTTTTTCAGAATTTAGAAGCATTGGTGACATGTTTGAATAGAATTAATGCCTTATTTTACGTGGCGAGACTCAGGCCATCAGGCCCGCTCTTCCGTCTGACCACAAATTTCGCTACGCTCCTTTCACCAACTAGCAGGAAAAGGAGGTATTTCTTGGGCGAGAAACTGGCGATTTGAATTTAGCTCAGAGGCGTCATTTAGGCTTGAGGATCTTTTACATGCATGTAAATCTACTAACATGGGACAGCCGGCTTTACTTCCCCTCCGAAGGAAGGCGCACGAAGGATTTTTTCGCCCTCAAAAATCCATGGCTTCGATCAGGTTCGAACCCGCCAACTTGGGTACAACAGTCCGGTACGCTAACCGTTTCACCATCGCCACCGTGATACATTTGTAATGTATGCTTAAAAAATTACAATAGTTAAAAAAATTTTGTCATTTTCCTACCACTACAATAGTGAAGATAAAGAAATTTTTTTCCGGAATATCATTTGCTTTCACATAAGTTTGCATGAAATTATGGCAATTTTAAAAACAAGATTTTCTCAAAAAGTTTGAGCCAATCCTCTGGTAGGGCAAATAATGTTCTAAAACTGGTCCAGGTCTAATTTTGATTGAACTTTGAATTTTGCAAATTCTAAAATTTACAAATAATGCAAGAAAGTATTTGATGTTGTAACACCACTAGTACATTTAGGGACCAAATATATCGTAATATGGCAAGCAGTTTGACTCCAGCCACGAGGCAGTAATGTAGTGAATATTTTGACAAGTTTCACAACCAGTTTAACAATGGTTGGGAAAAAAAAAAACATTTAACTCTAACCTTAGATTACATGTTAATGTATTTCAATAATTATAATAAAGTTATATAATTTAATAATTTCATGAAAGAAATATCAATATCACAATGTCATAAAATAGATTTTACTGCACTATGTTTGAATGACCAATATTTCATATGAACCAGTGTTCGTATTTTATTCTGTTATGTTTATTGTTGGATAAGTTTTCAAATAATCATACTGGCAATGTATTTCGTGTCCATTATACTGTAAATAAATTAATAATAATATATACTACTATGCTTTCATATTTATGTGTGATTATATCAGTTTCAGTATCGTTTTAGAATAAATGTTGATTTTTTTTTATCTTTCACAGGTTGTGAGAAAAGTAGCCTTTAAAGTTGTAAAGCAGGAAGCAGCAAAAATTGATGTGTCTTCAGAAAATCTTCATGATTTTGTTGGTAAACCTATGTTTACACATGATCGCATGTATGAATCTACTCCCCCTGGTGTTGTCATGGGTTTGGCATGGACTGCTATGGGTATGTATTATTGCATACAAAACAAAAATAATAGAAGTATCAGAGTTGTTGTGTGTGAATGTGTGATACAGTGTATTGGGATGGGAGAATCACTTGTTTAGCATTCCAGCACCATGTCATTGTGGTTAATCTCCATCCGTTGGCATCTGAGTTGTGAATATTACATGACCTAATATGCACAACTCAGCTGCTCATAATACGCATAACGTAACTATGGGGATGGGCTTTTTTTCTGAAGCCGTTTCCCCAGTATATTTTTTTGTGCATTGGTTTCCCTGTTTCTTAGATAGAAATTAGCCATTTTGATTATAAATCAATGAGATCATTACTTTAAGAAATATTGAATTTAATTAGCAGTTCACTTATTGAATTCAGGTGGATCCACCCTGTTCATTGAAACAACAACAAGACGCCCTCATGACGACAGTAGCGAAGGTTCCCTTGAACTGACAGGTCACTTGGGAGATGTGATGAAAGAATCTGCTAAAATAGCTCTGACTGTTGCAAGGAATTTCATGAAAAAAGAGGATCCTAAAAATAATTTCCTTTATTCAAGTCATTTACATCTCCATGTCCCTGAGGTAAGCCATTTCTTGTATACCCACTTTTATTTTACTTGTAAGTCTGTAAAAGTAGCCTATTGTTAAAGGGTGCCACTCCCAAAGATGGGCCTAGTGCTGGATGCACTATTGTGACTGCATTACTCTCATTGGCCAAGAACAGTCCTATTCGACAGGATGTGGCCATGACAGGAGAAGTGTCTTTGATGGGAAAGATTTTGCCAGTTGGAGGCATCAAAGAGAAAACAATTGCAGTAAGTTATAATTTGTGATTACTTTTATTCCCCCCTTCCAGTGAATATATATTCCATTAACCATAATTTATCATTTTCAGGCCAAACGAGTAGGTGTTAAATGTATAATTCTTCCAGAAGAAAACAAAAAGGACTTCAATGATTTGCCAAAGTATATAACTGATGGCTTAGAAGTTCATTTTGTGAATCAATTTCAGGACGTTTATAATATTGTCTTTGCTAAACCATGATATCTAGATAAAATTTTATTTTAGGAAGTATTAAAATTATTTTGAGAAAAGAATCTATCTCTGTACATTGTAAACAATGTAAAACGTAAATGACCACAAAGTTGGGTGTTTCCTGTACAGAACTTTGTGGACTACATCTGGTGTTTAATGGCAGGAGAAGCAATTATGCTGTATCTGTGTAAATAAATTTGTATATTTTTTTATTTTTGTGATTGAATTTCTACCTTGCATTTTGCTGAAAAGTTCTCTCAAACCCAACCCTCTCTTGAGGGCAATTATAGTAAATATTATTTTTATTTCAGCATGTTTAATTTGTTCCTTGAATTACTGGTACTTCCTGCTTTATTAATTGTAAGATAAGATTTAAACTTTCCTCCACGTTACCAGTATTACCATTATTTTCTATTTCAAAATCCCATGATGTAAAATCATCCAAGTCACATTCTGACGGTGCATCATCAATTCCTAAAATCAAATTGAAATAATGATTATCCATAATATTAAATGAGGATAAATATGAAACCCTTTTCAAATACCTTCAGTGAAAGTCCAACCACGTTGTTTCCTGACATCATCACTTGTAAAGATCCGAATGTTTTTAACATTTTTATAATTTTCATGAAACCATTTAATATCGGTTTTTCTTCTAGCATCACTTACTATCCACACAGATTTGTCTGTAGCTAATGAGAAATTGTATTAACCAGTTATCATTAAAGGAGAAAAAACGAAAAATAAAAAAATAAAATAATACCTCGGCACATTTCAATTGCATGACGACAGAAGTATCCATAATCTTTCTCTCTCATTGATTCTCCCCAGATAATCATATCCTGCCGATATTTTTCTTTATAAGACGACGAATCCAGTAATTTGGATAATTCCAAACCACATAATTGGGCCCAGTGATTTTTTATGGGGGCTGATAATTTTACGATAACACCGTTATCGTGACCAATCCTTAAATAAATTATATTTATTCATTTGAAAAAATGACAATTAATAACATAACTTTTATTTTTGGCACCAACCTTTCAATTAGCAAATCGGTGAAGAAATCTTTACCAGATTTCCGTTTGCCACTGAATAATAGTATACATTTTGGATTTGATGTTTGATCAGGGCACATTACGACTACAACACCCCCAAAGCTTTATGATTGTTTCAGCCTACTGCAATCAACAATGACAAGTTTTTTATACTAACTCACTGTCGTAGCACTGGGCCTGAGCGGGGGGAAATACTTCGGTTTTTATAACGTGGCGCGGCAAGGCGTGTTTTCACGATGGAATGTCACGGCATTTCTAGTTTTTCTTCGTGTTCTTCGTCGTGCCGCTAGATGTCCCATGATCGCCAGCGTAGAGAGATGTCCAAAATGACGTCACAACATTAGGCGGGAAAGTATTGGATGGCAACCTCTCGCGTAAGCTACATTACCAAGTTTTTGGCTGTATTATGCGGTTGTAGAGGTGCGTGTGTCTTATTACATTTGTTTCTTACTTTATTTGTTTATTTAGATTCTGGTTGCGAATTTCGTTGACAAATTGGATTTAAAACCACTATTTTATCAACACACATCAGGTCGCTACCTTGCCTTCTCCAAAACGGTTCGAAGTACAGTGGCTCACTTTAATATTCGGACACCCAGATATACTCTAGAAATCGTATGTTCTGCGTTATTTTGACGGTTGTAGGGAAAAAATATAAGCAAGAAAGTGAAACAGAATTGTTCCTTTGCTAATGGATAACAGTATAAACAAAACAAAAAATGCAGAATGTAGTTGACGTATTCAATAAAAGAGAAAACAAATTAAAATAGTCTGTATTTATTAGCCACTGTAATATGCGGACACGTGAAATGTAATATAATATAAATGAATGAATGAAAAAACGAAAATAAAATTAATACTTAGTAGCATAACCATTGAACCAATAATCCTCTTCAGGTACTGTTGTCCAATTTGTGCCCATTCTTCCTGGATTCTCACTTGCAGATGGGACTTAAATGTAATTAGAATTCTCCTGACTGTACATTCCCATTCATGCCATAAATTCTTGATTAGATTGAGGTAAGGACACTGAAGCGGCGTTTCCAGTACTATTGGACAATTGTAAAACAACCATTCGCACACTAAATATTGTGTTTCGGGTCGTTGTCTGGATAAAATTTAAACGAGTTCCTGATGCCTAGTGTGTCAGTAGATTTTTGTGAATTTTCTTTTAGTATGTTGAGATACTGTTGTTTGTCCATTGTGTTTTTAATAAACACCATCTCCCCCACGCCAGCAGCTGACCTGTAGCCCCACACCAATATGTGTAAACCTCCGTGTTTCACAGTTGACACTGCGTTTTTAGGATGCAATTCTGTATTTGGTTTTCGCCATATCGTTTTCCTATCATAACTTCCAAAAATATTAAACTTTTTCTCTCCTCCAAAATTACCTCACGCCACCACTCCTCTGATTTCGTCACGTACTCCTTGGCAAACTGAAGTCGTTTAGCACTATTTCCAGCACGGATAAAGGGTTTCTTCCTGGCCGCTCTACCGTGAAATCCGGCATTTCTAATTACTCTGCACACTGTTTCGGGGGTGCACAGATGTCTCTGACGCTTCGTGCAGTTCCTCTGCCAGCTGGACGGCTCTAACCTTCGGATTTTCTCGTACTATCCTCGAAATTTCACGCTGCTCTCTTTCGCAAATCTTCTTACGTTGTCCATGTTACGATTTAGATTCAATTCTGTCTTCTTTCTCAAATCTCTTAATAATATCGTGTACCGTGCTCATAAGTAAAAGATTTGCTATCTCCTTGCAGGAGCGTCCCTCTGCCTGGTGGAAAACCGGAAGTTGCCTCTGTTCAAACGTCGAGTTCTTTCCCTTGCAGGAGGCGTTTCCAAGCGGAAATATTTACAGCGACTGACTGCATCATTTCGTTCGTTCTGGGTAGAGGATGGTGCGCTTATCGCGCGGTATAGGAAAGTGACGAGGGGGTAACGACATTTTCTATTACGTGATCGTATATGAATGTGGCATCGTATTTTTGCATTTTCAATCATTAATCCGTGTTAATGAAACATATGTTGTGCATCAGAAACATTTTCTTTGTATTATTATGTTTCCTTATAATAAAGTCACAGTTCCTTGGCATTTCTTCACATGTAACTTCCGCGCACGTGCGAAAAATTACATTCAAACAAAAAACGACTTCAGTATTTGTGGCTGTCCGAATATTAATGTGCGCCACTAAATATTATCATGACGTCAGCGAAGATGCTAAGGTGTTGCATTATAATTAAATGTAAGAAACATTTGGTTCCACGAACCCTTTCATCGGTTATGTACGGTAATAACATATTGAAATGTTAATTATTAGCAGATAATTTATCTTTTGTATAATATCTTAATCTAACTGTAACAAGTATTGTATTTCTAGGCCAATGACCCCATCTCGATCAAGTTTAGTTCAGTTTCCCTGGTCCTTTGAGCAAATGCTGAGATGGCCCCTTGTTTGCTCCTGAACCGTAACGTAACTTCGCTCTCTCCACCCAAGACATCACATTGACTCGTCATACACGATTGTAATTGTATATGTGACTCAATAAATATTATTATTATTGTTATTATGAAAAGTGCCAATGAATTTCGAGCCTCTGCGTTATTAGCGTAGCCGTGACTCATATTTTTATAAATGGTCGGCTTTTTCAATAATTCTTTTAGAAATTTGTATTAATTATCATTGAGAGAAACATTATATAAATTAAACTTTAATAAATTAGTGCGACAATGAAATTTGCCACAGAATAAAAATATTTGATTTATAATTTACTGCCTTGATCACAACAGTGAAAACAATTTTTCGCCATCACGTTAACTTTCTTCTGGAAATGAAATTTTATCTGCGATCGGTTGCGTTAATTTGTTGCGGTGCTTATCGCATTTTATTATTTTATGAATGTTAATGTCTAGAGAGGGTGATAGTCACTTGGAGAAGGTAAAGGAAAGTTGCAGTTGCATCAGTCAATCCTCAGTGAGATCACACAGTCTCTATTCTTGAACTGTATAAATCCGCTATCATGAATATTGTTTGTGTGTGGATTGTTTGTAGTGACTTGTTGATACTGCCACCAAATGAATATGATAACTACGTCGCGTGTTGAAGCTATAGACAACGGCGTTTGCTGAAAATATATTCCCACACTTAAGTAAGTCATTTTTAACAAAAACCAGTGATTCATATATGAAGAGACAAGGTAATGGTAATATACCTAGATTAATGAAGAAAGGCTTACAAGGATCACGTGGGTAGAATTTGCTTATTATTCGTATAATTCTTTTTTGTAATCTAAAAGTCTCGGAGCTATAAGATGTATTCCCTCAGAATATTATACCATATCTCAGGCGAGATATACACAACGAACAGTATAGAGGCTGGCTGGATTTGAAAGAATTCTGAAAGCGTATCATAAAGAACTTAATTTAGTGTTCAATTCATTTCATTGGACGTTCCATTTAATGTTTGACTGCATTGTAAGACCTTAAAATTGTTACCTTAACGTCAGTCTATGGCACACCGTTCACTCTCAATGGAGTGCATAGCTGTTGATTTGAAATAGAAAACTGCATTGAAACCATTTTCTTATCTTTTACTATTAATTTGTTATTACGGAACCAAATTGAAATATCTGATATTGTATTATTTACGGTTTCTTTATTGCAAAGAATATTCGTATTATCCGCAAAGAGTTCTTCCGTTTCTAATCGTCAACGAAATAGTAGGAAGAGAATAGAGCCTAAAATCGAACCATGCGGGACTCCACATGCAATTGGCAAAGAATCGGAAAAGTGTGTACATAATGTTCCATTATTCCTGTTAAATAAAATATGAACACGTGGAAGTATAATCTCTGTTTATTGATGTGTGTGCAGGCTACATCCATACAGCTCAATCTTCAGAACAAAAATCACCGAATGCGCATCGTGCGTACACTTATATACATACAGTCACTAGTTATATGGTAATCCTGTAGATGTCAGTAAATACAATTTCTCTAATATAACTGTACGTAAATATTCCAACACGCCTCCTTACATTTATATTACAATACTCATAATAATATCCCACTCTATATCTACAATTATCCGATAACATTCAAATTTCAAGAATTTTCACGAACTTAACTTTACTTAATGATTTAGTAAAAATGCCAGCTACATTATTACTCGAATCTACTTTGAGTACATCTATAATTCCTTCCATATAACATTCATTTACAAAGAGATAATTTACCTCAATATACTTTGAATTTTTTGAAAAGTTTCCAAATTTTGCAATGCTGAAAGCGCTTGAATTGTCTTCATATATTTTCACGGGTTTGTCAAGTTTTACATCAAAAATATCTCTCACTAACTTAATCTCAGTTACAGCTTCAGCCACGCTACGTTGTTTCAGTGATTTCCAAAATATGACATTTCCGAATAATCTAATTACGTATACAGTCGTAGATTCACGATCTATGTTATCGCCTGCCCAATCTCCATCTACAAAACAATCTATAGTATCAATTGTTACACTTTTACTATATGTTAGTTTTAGATTTTTTGTCAAAGACTTCAAGATATGCAATGCATACTGAAAACGAGTGTCACTATAGCAATTTTGAAATCTGCTCAAGTAATGTGCACTGTAGCTTTTGTCTGGTCGCGGTCCTTAACTAATATACAAAAGAGCACCTATGAATTTCCTCTATCTAATATTTGATATACATTTTGCGCAGGTATTAACTTCAAATTTACTTCCATCGGTGTATTATACAGTTTCGAATTTTCAATGTTATATTTTTGAGCTAAAGATTCAATATAAGCTTCCTGGTTAAGATTCATTACATTCCCTCAATAATTATAATTAACAAGCGGACCCGACAGACATCGTCCTGTCAAAAATATTTGTAATGTGACAGTTTTTTGTTCCTACATCTTTTATAGTCTGGGGAAAAAACTGCTGAACAGAACTGTCACCCTGGTGATAGGGCGTTGTGAATAAGAAATATAAATAAAACATATATAAGCAATTAAAAGTAAGTATTCGCTTTATTGTTAATCATGTGAATCATAATTATTAACATAAAATCAGTTTTATTTCATTATAGTGGTTTTTGTGGTATAATTTTTTTGTTTTGATTACCTGGCGCATAGACAAACAAATCTGATGGTTTCCACACGGGAACAGACAACGATACAATTGCCATGTGAGAACATGGGGTTTTCCAGATTAATACCACAAACACCTAATGATTGCCC